AGGCCAAGTGTGGACCAATCATACTGCAGCCCAGCGAGTGCCTGCTGTCCTCCGCCAATCATGAGACTGGAGGGCCGGCCGAGGCCTGGCACCAATCAGCTCTGCAACTGGGCGGAATTTCTGTTTCTCCCAGCCAATCATGCGACTCAAGGAGAATTTCCGTCGCTGGGACCCGTCTCCTCCAATCAATGGCCTTCGGAGGCGGGCGGGCGGCCGCTCAATCTCCCATCCCTTCTGCTTTTGGATAAGGTTTTATTTTCCGCTTTTTAAGTAGAGGCTCCTTGGAGCCTCGATGGAGTACTGTTCTCAGGCGCGACCAGAGAAAGGCCTGTCGCTGACGGGCCTAGCTACCCCTGGGGCGCCGAGGAGGAAACGGCGGGAAGGGGCCGCAGGCCTGGGCGTGTCCGGGTCCCTGGGGACTTGGGGCGTCAGCCGAGGCTGGATGGTGGTCAGGAGAGAGTGTACCTCACCCCGGGAAAAAAGCTATGTCCCCAAATCCGAGAGCATTTTAGACTGCACATGTCCTTTCTCCATCAGGCCCAGATGGGTGAGTGCAAACCCACCAAAGAAAATTCGGTCATGGTGAAAACCCAGCGGGCGCGTGGGGCCCTCCTCCACCTCCTCCCTCCCTGCCTCTGGCCGCCCTTTGGTATGTCCTCTGACCAGGGCATTTTGTGTCTCACTAGAAACTAGGAAATTATATACGCCCCTTGTCGGGGTGGACCTTGCCTAGGGCTTAACTCCGTAACAGAGATGTCAGGGACTGGATAGGGAACCAGGAAGCCCTGTCAGGTCACATGTAAGGTGCTTCTTTCTCACGCGTGCCCTCGCTTCTACTGTTCACCAACAACCTTTTTAGTGGCTCTCCTTAAGCCCCGGGCCTCCTCACCAGCCAACCTGTTGCTCTGGAAAAATATCAGAAAACTTGCCCTAGTATTGGGGCCCTGCTTCTCTCTGGGTCCACTTCCTCTCTCCCTTTCCCTCCCCGCACCCCCAACATGCCCAGGTCTTTGGCCTTGGGAGAGAGAACAGCCCCTGGGGAAGGAGGCTGGAGAGCCCAGCTGCCTGTGCATGCGCCTTCTTTCACCTATCACCCCAAAGAGGAGCAGGAAGCAAGCCTCTTGCTAGGGGGTGGAATTTGCTTTGGGCTCATACTTTAGTTAACCTAAAGCTGCCGGATATGGCCACCCAACCAAGATTCCTTCACAATTCTAAGCAGACCTTGCAGACACATCCAAGAGCGTCCCTGGGGAGGAGCGGACCTGCTGCTGTCCTCATGCCTCCCCACTGCCCGCACTCCTGGCCTGCTGCCTCCAGCCTCCTCTCTCTAACCCACTTTCCTTTCCAGCTCTATAAGGGCTAGGAAGCCAACAACCAGGGGTTACGACTAGAAATCTACTTATTATGACTGGCCCCATCTCAAGTCCCTAGTAGTTGAAGCTATTGATGGTTTTCTCACCTTCAGGGTTGGGGATGTTTAGCAGGGAGAAAGGGCTTCTGTGAAGCCCTCACAGCATAGAAAGGATCCCTCTTCCCAAAAGTAACATCAGGAATACCACCCTTTTCTTAGTGAGTGGACACAAACTAGCAACCTCTGGCCACTGGTACAGTTGCTTTAGTTGACTGGGGGACAGTCATCCATTGGAAAGAATGGAGGTTGGGACAGGGTAATTGGCATTGAACCTAAAAATTAATATATTAAGAACCTACATTGAGTCAGTTCCTTTGCAGTTCCAAAAGCAGGAGGCATAGAGAGTGGGTGTGGTAGGGTGAACTGGGGCAGGGCTGTGGTAGAATGCCTGTCAGGGTGCCCTCACCATTTGGGAGAGTCAAGGTACCAGCTGTTCTTGCAAGTCTCATTTCAGTGCTTCCTCAAGAGGCTGTTTCAAGTGTTGAGAAGAGGAAAAACAATGCAATTATGCCAAACAGTATTGAGCAGAATAATTTATTTTTTGTTGTTTTTCTTTTAAATCATTAATCCTCATTTGGAAGAGGTAGGTCCCAGCACCCAGCCCAGATCTCCTTTTCTGCAATAGTTATTTAAACTTTTTTTTTTATTTCCTTCCCTTTCTCTTTCTGAATTAAAAAGAACCAAAAAAAAAAAAAAAACCACAAAAAACCTGTAGTCATCTGTTTTGTGTATGATCATAGGTTTATCTGGGAGTGAGGAGCTGTGACCAAATAATGACTAAGGATGTTGAAGATATGAAGGGAAAGCAAAATGGCTCCCAGATATCCACCTCTTACATGTGAGCCTGGTGTCATGAACCACACTCTTTCAAGTCCCCAAGACATTTAAATCTGAGTATTTTGGTTAAAAATGAACCCATTGCCACCTCTTCAGTTTTCTCCAAAAGAGAAATCTGTTAGAATTCCTAGCAGGAACTTTCATAAATACAGAGTATCCATGAGAGGCTCAGTGCATTTGGACATACCAAAGCTGGGCCATCTCCATCTCTCTGGGATGAATTCATCTCTTGGAGGTTTTCCTCCTTGCTCTGGCATGGCTCATCAATCTGTAGCCTGCTCTTCCCACCATACCACAGGGGCCTGCATTTCACTGCAGGTTCTACATAGAAGGGCACACACAGCCTACCTGCCATTGGGAGAGCATCAGGAGGCAGAGTACCTCCCCCAGCCTAGAAGGTTGCTAAGGAAAAGATAAATGCTTAGATAAATTGCCATGTAATAACTGGGTAACCATTGGGAAAAGACAAAATTAGATCTATACTTTAAACCATTCACCAAAATAAATGTTAAGTGGATCATAGAACTAAATGTAAAAATTCCTAATAGTAGTAGCTTTTTGATGTATTCAAACAGATTTTATATTTTCTATAACTTTGTAGTTTATTTTTAGATGATTTTTTTCATAATTTCTAGCTCCCCTTATTGTTAAGGATATTTTTTTTCACCTATTTGTATATGTGTATGTTCCCAACATTTTTGTTAAATACCTCATCTAAGGCTGTAATTATTACTATTTTGAGTTTTTTCTTCTTACCTTAAGTTATAAGAACTGTGATATTTCATCATCTACATAGCAGATGCCATTTTCTTCCTCAATTCCCTGGTCTCTAAAAGTTTTGGTTTTGTATTTCTCCATCTACTTTATTTAATGCCCCTCTGTCATGATGAAGACTTTTCAAATTTGGAAATGAAAGACTGTCACTGTTCACTCTTCTGAAATAGTGGATCAATGGGAGGAGCTCCTTGGGAATTTTGCATACAATGGGGCCTATCAATTGTGAGGACTAAATAGTATTAGGGTGGCCAGAGGATCAGGCATTTCCTGGGGTTGAGGGTTATGGGTGTGCTGTGGCACCATCTAGAATTGGATCTCAAGAGCAAGAAAAAGGGAACCTCCAGAACCACACTTGCCTCTTTACAGTTTCTGCCAAGTTCACATTTCCTTGGTGCCAAATAAGTCCCATGGCTGTACCTCAGTTTCTCAGGGATGTGTGCTGTTCATCTGGAAGAGGTGCCATATTTGGGTAAGCAATATACAATCTAAAACAGTAGGTAGGTCTTTGGAGAGAAGATGTTAGCTTTATGGCCTGGGGTGGAGTGGGTAATACACACCTGCAGGTATGCTGGCTATATTCCAAAGGGAAGCAATTAAGTATTTTACCTGCCACAGGAATAGTAGTAGACTACCATTCAGCAGGCAAGGAGCTATCTCCTGTGATTTGTTCAGTGAAATAAGAAAGCATCATTCTATTAACTGAGGGGAAGGATAAAGTCCTAAAACTGAATTTTAAAAAATCAAATTATTCTTTTTTGAATGTGAATTAAAAAGCAATGTTCCTTCTCATTCTTTCAGAAAAAAACAAAACAAAACAAAACAGCTTCTGCAGTGAGTCTCTGCCTGGGTAACAACCACCACACAAAAATACAAGAGGATCCCTCTCTGCCCCTGAAGCTTGCTGAACCATTGGTATCAAGACCAGCATGGCCCTCAGGATACAGAATGAATACCTTTCCTGTTTCTGCTCCTGAGAATAATGCAGGCAGTTTCTGGCAGGATGGTTTCTCTACAGGAAAGAACTTGTGAAGTAGAAAAAACATTTGGTAACTGCACTTGGAAGGGTCTGAGTGTCATCCTTTGCTAACTTTGCTTTTTTTTTAATATATATTTATTTTTTACATGTAAGTGTACACAATGCCTTTATTTTATTTTTATGTGGTGCTGAGGATTGAACCAAGTGAGTGCCTCATGTGAACTGGGTGAACACTCTACTACTGAGCCACAACCCCAGCCCTACCTTTTCTTTTTATACATTAAAATTGCAATGCATCTTCATTACAAAAATGACTCAAATACATAAAGTAAGTAAGGCATGAGTGGACTCCTGAACAGGGGCAGGGGAAGTACTGTGTACTGAGTTGACTCCAAGCAGGGGGGCTGCTCGGATTTGACCTTCAGAGCAGTTATCTGACAGCCTAGTCCACTTCTGTACTGGGCCCAGCAAGTGTTCAGCTTCAGACCTGCCCACCACTTGGCATTTCTGCTCCACTGCTCATCCACAGAAACACTCAACTTGTTTTTGAGTCAGATGGTAGTTTTGTTTTTGCACTCTGTATACCACTGCTCTGTGGCTC